TGTGTGTGTGTGTGTGTGTGTGTGTGTGTGTGTGTGCAACAAGCCCACATTTCTGGCTGAGGGGCAGCATGCAGCTGCTTGAAAATCCTGCTTGTCCCTGTGCAGTGACCTCAGCCAGAGCCACAGGTGCACTGTGATTTCATCCCTTGGGAGGCCAGTGGCTGTTGGCAGGCTGGGAGAGGGTGGTGGGTGAGTGGCCCTTTAGCTCCTGTGTTCTCAGGCTGTCCAGGGCCTGAAGGCACTGGAAAGGCCAGGTGATGAGGGTGGATGAGCCACCACAGCTGTCCTGTCCCAGCCACTCCCAGGACATTCCCCCCCCCCTTTTTTTTTTGTACTGAGGATCAAACTCAGGACCTTGTGCTTGCCAGGAGGGCGTTTCCCTAAAGGCCTTTCTGCTGCTTGGCACCAGATGTACCCAATGTGTCATTTATTAGGGCTTACACACAGGAGGAAGACAGGCTGCATTAAGGGGCATCAGCCAGCATATGCCGCAGTTTGGGGAAGCCCTGGGCCAGCCCCTCTGGGCTGTGGTTCTTCCTTAAACGCAGAGGCTTCCTGGTGCCAGAAAGTGGCCACTTCTGTCTGTTCCATCTCCTAGGGCCTCCAGGTGCACTGGGAGTCCTTTTGCTCTCCCTCAGACCCTAAATATGGCCTCCAGTAGTCCCCTCATTGGGCCCTGGGGCTCTGTCCTCCCTTTGAGTGCTCAGGCCCACCTTGCTGGTGTCTCAGCTGGACTTTACCCCCAGCAGCCTGGCAGGGAAGGGCAGGGCAGCCTTACAGGGGCAGGCTCAGCCTCCCTGGACATGGAGCACACTGGGACCACTCCTCCAGGGGGCGTGGCAGGACACAGCCTGCCTGCAGTCTGTCTGGCTCTATGACTGCCTGTCCCTAGCTGGACACAGGAAGAGATCTCTGCTCTCTATGTGTAGCTGTGGGCAGGCAAATGCCCCCTTTGACCCTGCCCATCTCTGGGGTATCATTTGGCTCTGGACAGGAGCTAGAATTGCAGTCCAACTCCTATAAGGGTCTCCTTCTACAGTAGGCTGCTGATTTTGGAGTAATTTTTTGGTTTTTGTATCAGGAATTGAACTCAGGACCCTGCACTTGCCAGATAGGGACTGTGCCACTGAGCTCTATCCTGGGCCAGGATGCTGACTTTGGAAACCTTTCCTCTGGATTCCCATGAGGCTGGGTTCTGGTGGAGGCAGCTAAATTAGCGAGGGCAGCACGTGTGTCAAGGGTTCCAAGCGAGGCCACAAGTTCAGTAAAAGGCCCTCTGGGGAACCAGGAGCAGATTAACTTTTGGTATTGGCAAGGAAATTTGGCTTCTCAATCTGAAATTTAATCTCAACATTTGTCACTTTGTGGGAAGCAACTCTGGCCCCGGCCACTGGGGGCAGTAGCAAGGATGAGTTAAGTAGGCATTATGGGCACAGCGGCGAAGGGTGGCTTGGGCTGCTGGCCAGAGCTACGGCGCCAGTGGGATGGGAAGGTTCACTGGAATGCTCCTGGAGTGAGCTGGGGAACCTGCAGTGCTGGCTGACAGGCAGCCAGGGAGCCAGGTGGAGAGAGGGGCAGGTGGGAGCTCACAGCTCAGCGGTGCACCCCGCCCCCGCAGCCCACCTGTCGGTCAGCCCAGGACCTTGCAGGAATTAGCATCAGAAAGGAGGAACGTTTATTTGAATTTCCGTCAATTAAAACAATTGCTTCTCAAAATAATACCGAATTTCAAAAAGACACACACACACACACACACACACACACACACACACACACGGTATTTAAGATTTATATAACTAGTGATCTAACTGCGTACCTCTTTTTTGCTCTTTTTTTTTCTTTCTCTCTCCTTTTTCACAAGTACATATTGGAGATACACAGCAAATAGAGTCATTCTGGGAAGCGTGGCACGTGTACACGGTACATCCCGGTCCTTCCTACTTCCTTGCCATCTCCTCATCCCCAACCCCCTTCCCACACTTTCAAGAAAGCAACTCTTAGATCCGTTGATCCTTTGTATTGTTATTTTAGTCTCAATTTCATTAACTTTTGGTCTGAGCTCTAGAATTTCTTTCCTTATACTAACTTCAGATTTGGAATATTCCTGTCTTCCTAGGCCCTCAGATGCGCTGATAGTTTACTTACTGGCATTGCTCTATTCTTTTGATGTGTGTACACACAGGAACCACCTTCCTCCTACAACTGCCTGCACTATGCCATGTAGATTTTGGTACATGACAGGCAAATGCCCCTTTGCCTTCCATTTTCATTCGATTCTTGAAACTTTTTTTTTGTAACAGGGACCTTGTGGTGCCAAGCAGGCGCTTATGCTGCTGAACTATCTCCCCGGCCCTATCTAGGAACTTTTAAATATTTCATTGATTTCTTCTGTGAGTCATTTATTATTCAGTAACATATCATTTAATGTCCATGTGCTTGTGCATGTTCTATGACTTTTTCCTTTTTGCTGTTGATTTCTAACTTCATCCTGCTATGATCCAATAGTATGTGTGGAATGATATCAATTATTCTGTATTTATTTAAACATTCTTTATGGCCAATTTTGGGAAAAGTTCCATGTGCTGTTGAGGAAAATGTGTATTCTATTGTTGTTGTTAGATGAAATACTCTATGTAGGGCCAGCCAAATAGCTCAGCAGATTAAAGCGCCTGAAAGAAGGAGCAAGGGCCAGGAGTTCGATCCCTGGGTCTGCCAAGCTGGCCTCGCCCCGGGGCACACTGAGTTGGCAATTGAGACTGGGCGTAGTGGAGTGTGCCCGTAATCCCAGCTCTTGGGAGGCTAAAATAGGTAAATAGGTAGATCCTTATGAGTTTGATCCAGTAGTGAGACCCTGAACACCCTATAGACTTTTCCCTAAAATACAAAAAAAAAAAAAAAGAAAGAAAGAAAGAAAGAAAGAAAGAAAGAAAAAAGAAATACTCTGTAGTCTTAAAATCCATTTGTTCAGTGCTGTTCTTTGTTGTTGTTGTTGTTGTTGTTGTTGTTTGATCTGCTGACCTAATTGTGACAGTGGGATATTGGAACCCCTCACAATGGTTATATTGGTATCTATCTTCCCTTAAGTCCAGTAGTTATTGTTTTATAAAATTGACTGCTCTGGTGTTACATGAATAGATACTTACAATTGTTCCATCTTCCTATTGAGTTATTTCCTCCACCAGTATATAATAGGCATCTTCTTATTTTCTGATCAGTTTTGGTTTGGTGTTTTCTGTATCTGTAAATAAGATAGCTACTCTTGCTTGATTCCGGCTCCAGCTGAGCAGTGTCCTTTTCCATGCTTTTTCTTTCAGTCTGTGTATTTCATTTTTGATAAATGAGTCATCTGGAGGCAATCGATGGTTGCTTATGTGTGTTTTCTTTTTAATAGTTTACCAGTCTGTATCTTTTGACTGGGGCTGAGATCCTTGACACTGAGAGCAATACTGTAAGATGTTTATTGTTATTTTTTTCAGTGCTGATTGTTTTATTTTTTCCTTTTAACTACCCTTGCAGTTAGATATATGCTCTTCTTTGGGCTTTTGGGTGCTGGTGGCCTCCTTGTCTCTATCTAGGCTTCCCTTGAGTACTTTCTGCTATGCTGCTTTAATGATCATGAATTTCTTTAGGATTTCTTGGTTTGGAAAATCTGCTTCTCCCTTAATTTTGAAGGCTAGTTTTGCTGGGTATAAAAGTCTGGATTGACAGTTGCTTTCTTTGGCAGCTCAAAAATCCTTATACAAAAAAAAAAAAAAATGCTTATACAAAGCTGTCCCACTATTTAAGGTTTGTATTGAAAAATCTGCAGTTATTCTGGTGGGCTTGCTTTCATAGGCTACTTGCTGTTTTTCTCTAATAGCATTTAGTGTTCTCTCCTTTAGCTGAAATTTTTGTGTTTTTTAAAAATTTTATTTATTTATTTATGTGTGTGTGTGTGTGTGTGTGTGTGTGTGTGTGTGGTCAGCTCAGCCCACCAGGGGGCAGGACTGGCTGGCATGTGGTACTGGGGATTGAACCACGGTCCCTGTGCTTTGCTAAGCTTATTCTAAGTAGGTGCTTTAGACCACTGAGCCATCTCACCAGCCCTAGCTGAAATTTTTGGATTGTGGTCATAATGTGTTGTGGTAAGGATCTTCTCTGGTCATGGCTATTGGATTTTTGTGTATTCTTGTACTTGAATTCCTTCCATAAATTTGGAAAAATTATTGTTGTGATTTTAGTGAATACATTATTACACTTTTTTAGTTTCCTTGTAATTATTTATTCCTATAATTCTGATTTTTTTTTTTTTTGTGGAACCTGGGATTGAACTCAGGCCCTTGCACTTTCCAGGCAAGTGCTTATTCTACTGAGCCATCTCCCCAGGCCCCTGATTTCGTTATTTTTGAGTCACCAAGTAGCTGATGAGCCCAGCTTGCATGGTGTCTTCTCATTTTTAGGGTATCATTGAATCTTGATGCTCCATATCTACCCTTTCTCTGTTTCTGACATCCTGTTCTCACATTGAAGTTTGCTACCCATGCTTTCCAGTAAAAATTTCCAATTCTCTAGCTCAGCTTTTCATACTTTCTAGATATTTTTTGAAATGGTCATTTGTGTCTTGGGTTGTTTTGCTTAACTCAATCACGTTACTGCTCTTTATTTCTTCTTTAAGATTGTTGAATATTTTACTGGTCAAATTCTTCATCTATTTAATTAAATTCTCCTTGAGTTCCTTAAACATCTATATATTTGCTTATATATTTTTTTTCTTTTATTTCTTCAAACAGTCTAACCATTTGGTTTTTGAGGTTTTTTGCCTATATCCTCCTTTACTTTTGTGTCTATGAGATCAGTTTTTGAGGAGTTAGAGGTTGGGGTGGGGGCAAGCTGTGCCCTTATTTTTTATGTTTCTATTATTTTCATGCATAGATTGAAGATACGTTAGGGTAGAAAAGATCACTACTGTGTCGATCTCTTTAGTTGTGTTCCATCACCTGTGATGTGTCCTTGGGTTTGGTCATGTTTTGATATTATACTCCTTTTTAAACTAGGCAGCATACATTTATTTGAAGGTCTTCTTAATGTCCAACCTTCTTTTTTTCTTTTTTTTTTTTCTTTTTTTCCAACCTTCTTCTTGGGGCTTGATCTTCAGCATCACCTCAGAGAGGAACAAACAAAACAGTAATGCTGATTACCCAAAAACAGGCCAGATATTGGTATACAGTAAGAACCAATTAAAAATAGCAACTATGCAACCATTAACAACAGAAAAAGTGATAACAATATGGTTAAAGATTAAATTTTTATTAATATAAGAAGCAATAATAGCTACAACTACAATAAGAAAGAGATCTGCACTAGTAAGGTAGACACAAATGCAAACCAAATATTAACCAAGCATAATGTCTACTAAAAGCAACAACTCTACTGCCATTAACAATAATAAAGAATTCAGTAATCACAGCATAGAGTCAACTAAATAATTAAAAATTAATAATACTTAATAGTAATAATAAAATAAGAGAGTAGGGACAGGGGAAAAGGAAAGAAATACAATTTGAAAAAAAAAAGAGGAAGATGGAAAGGAAGAGAGAAAAGAGATTAAAAGTCCAACAAAAAGATTAACAGATAGTTGATAGAATCAAGCAAAAATCACAGAAATGACAAAAAAAGAAAAGAAAAAAAAAAGAAAATAAATAAACAAACAAATAAAAATTTAAAAAAACCCCAAGGATAGAAACAAATAAATGAAAAAACAAATTAAGGAGAAATAAGTCCCCAGAATTCCTCTGCCTGTTTGGGTGAGTGGTTTCTTACCAGGTCCCGTGGTACTGGAATTCAGCAGCATGGGTGGAGGGCAGTGAGTCACACCTGGGGCTGAGTCTGCTCCACACCCATTTCTTGCTGGGCAGACACCAAGTCCTGCCCTGCCTTTCCTGCTGGGCATGGTCAGTCAGTGGTGTGGTGACTACTTCAGGGCCATCCTCATCCTCAGTGGCTCTTAGTGCTTGTGTCCTTCTGTGTGTCCCAAGTCACTGCTATCTCAGCCTGGCATTCTGTTCTGTGGGCTCCAGAGGGTCCTCTGCTGTACACCCCATGATGTGACAACTGTCCAAGCTGAGGTGCATCCCTGACCATTTTGGCAGGTAGGAGAAGCAAGCGGTCCAGCAAGCTGTGTGCGGGAAGCAGGCAGTGAGGCCTGCCAAGAAGTCTCCTGGATTTAATGTCAGCTTTTCCAGACCCAGCTCCCTCAGAAAATCACATGGACATCTGGGAGCTAATAGCTGCTTAAACTTCTCAGGGGCCTACATCTAGCCTGCCTCTTCTCTGAAACTACCTCTTGAGGCCATCTCCTATCCAGTCACTATAGTAGGGTGACCCTAAAGATCCTGAAGTGAAGCTCTTTTCTGGCTTCCAATTCCCAGAATGTCTCAGTCTTAAACAATGAGCCCCTCCCCAACAATGGCCTCTGAAAGCATTACTCCCAAGTTCGGCAGGGGCTGGAGTGAATTTCTTCTCCAACTCTAGCCTGCTATGCAGAAAGAGTCACTTCAGAGTAAAGCCCCACCCTGTATCTGCAGCTTACAATAACTTGGATTTTCTGGGACTAGAGCTCCTGATCTGTAGTTTCTCCCTGGAGAAGGGGACCTTCCCCTACTGGTGTTTACCCTGGTAGCCTTGGGCAGTCGTCTAGCCTGCTTCATTCTTTTCTTTGCCTTGTTTTTGGCTTCTCTGCAGTTTCTAGTTTTCCTGTCAGCTCTCTCTTGGCTCCTGGAGCTCTACTATTTTTTTTTCCTAAGTTGTTGTTTTCCAAGGTACAGATTTCAGATCCTGCAGAGGCTGTATTTCTCTATAGTCTTTACTCTGTAGTCTTTGTTTGTTTGTTTGTTTTCAGTATGAGGGATTGAACTCAGGACCTTGTGCTTGCCAGGCAAGAGCTTATTCTATTGAACTATCTCCCCAACCCTCCACTATTTTAAAAAAAATGTGTTTAGTACAGGATCTACAGGGTCTCACTATGTAAACCAGACTCATAGTGATCCTCCTGTTTGCAGCCTCCCTAGCACTGGGATTACAGGCGCACACCACCATGCCCAGTCTCAATTACCATCTCAGCACACCCCAAGAATGGGGCTGGCATGGCTTGTGGTGCCCGGGATCAAACCCTGGCCTCTGCAGTCCGCCTAAGCAGGTGCTTTAGTCTGCTGAACTATCTGGCTGGCCACCTACTCCACCATTTTAAACTTCTTCTGCTAACCATTCACCTATTTATGACATTTAGGTTGTTTCTCATAAAGAAGTTGTTTCTTCTTCTTCTTCTTCTTCTTCT